GGGCTCCGAGCTCGGGTCCGTCGGGGGCGAGTCCGGGGCCACCTCCTCGCAGGGTGGCTGGCTCTGCGACGTCCCTCTGGGCCTGCGGCGTCGTCGGGACCTCCGGCGTGGGCGGCGCGCACGGCCGCGGCGGGCCCGAGAGGGCGTCCACGCAGCTGAGAGATTGCCCACCCACGCCCGCCGCGAGGAGCAGCAGGGAGAGCCGGGGATGCGCGCCGCCTCGATGGCCACTGGAGGTGTCGTCGCCGGCAGCGGCTGCCTCGGCGGCGGCTGCTGCTCTGTCGGCGGGGCCTCCGTCGGGGCCTCCGACGGCTTGGCCGCCCTCGGTCATCATCGGCGCCGTCGCTGTCATCGGCCACTTCACCCCGATAGCCTGCGCCGCCCTGGCCAGCGTCAGCTCCTTCTTGATCGCGTCGATCTTGGCAGCCAGCCGGGCGGAGACCAGGAGCTCGAGCGGAGACGGCGAGAGTGGCAGTGGCAGGTGCTTGGGCGCCAAGCGCAGCCGCACACGCGTCTGCTCCTCCGCCAGCAGCGACCCGTCACCGAGAGCTGACGACGAAGTCGCCGCGCCTGATCCACTTCCCAGGGCATCGGCTCCTCCTCGACGGACGTCGGCATCGTCTTCTCCGGCGTCCTGGACCTATCCGTCCTGCGCGTAGGCTTCGTTCTGGGCGTCAGCACAGCCTTCTCCCTGGGGGTCCACGGAGAGCTCGCACGTTCCGCATCGTCCTGCCGGTGCCGGCAGTAGTAGCTGGGCCGAGGTGATCGTACCAACTCTGTGCGCTCCTGCTACCGTGCCGTACCGCGCCGTACCGTGGCCGTGATGAGGGGGGGTAAGAAAGGAGTGAGCAAAAGGAAGTTACTGAATGGAGGAGGATAGGCGCCCAGTGCAACCACAGCCTAACCCCCCTCTGCTTCGCCCTTTTCCTTTCTATCCCGCTGGAACAGGCGTCGCCGGCCACCCCTCGGCTAACCGAGGGGGGGGGGGAGGGCTCTGTCTACCCCCGAGTCTTTGACGGGGCCCCGCTGTCCAAGCAGGAAGAAGAGGAGGGGGATGAGGAGCACGAGAGGGAGGAGGAGGAGGAGGAGGAGGAGGAGGAGGAGGAGGAGAAGGAGGAGGAGGAGGAGGAGGAGGAGAGGGAAGAGGCGCTGGGTGTGATGGGTGCCCCCGAATTGTGCTCCTGCTTGGGCCCCTCGGCGCCCTCGGAGCCCCCAGAGGCCACGGCCTCGGCGCCCATGGGGATCTCCGAGTCGGCGGGCAGGCTGGTGCCTTGCGCGTCGGCTGGCCTGATGCCCTGGAGAAGCAGCCTGAGGGAACCTTGCAGGAGGACGTCAACTATACACCAGCACCGATCCTGGCCAAGCCCACAGAAGCCCAACCTGGGCCGGGGACTGGCGTATGTGCCTTGATGGCCAAGCCTGGAGAGCGTGACCGCCGATCCTGGGCCCAGGATTGGCCTGGCCAGGATCCCCGCAGCGCCCTCCGACCTTGGGCCTTCTTGTGCTCGCCGAGCTTCAGCGTTCTCTCGAACTTCTCCTCGTTCTTGCAGGGCTCCCCACTCAGCTTCAGCGTGACCTTTCCGAGGGTGTCGCCCGAGCCCACCTTGTCCCAGTCGCGGACCTCAATCTCCAGAGTCTGCCCCAGGGCCTCGCGGGGGAGGCTGCGGCACCAGTTCCACTGCGGGTTCAGGTTCTTTTCAATGACGGGGGTCTCGAACTCCAGCTTCTTGCCGCTCGGGAGGGTGATGCTGCACTTGCACCACGGATCGGAGAGGCCAAAGGTATCCGCCTTCCGCAGGTCTGTGGCGCTCACTATGGTCAAGCTGGCGCGGCCCTCCGGCTTCGTGCGCACGCCCTCGAGCCGGACCACGAGCTTGCCGCCGGCCTTTCTGTCCCCGCCGAGGGGCAGAACGATCTCCTCTGGTACTTTCGCTTCCTCGCCAGAGGAGACGTGCTCGGCCACCACCAGAGTGGTCTCGCCGAGCTTCTCGCCAGTTTTCAACGAATCGTGATCAAACACCTCGAACTCCAGCGTGCAGCCGAGGATGCCAGGGTAAGCACGGCGGAAGTCCCAAACGGGGTTTATGTCCTTGGCCTTGACAGTGGTTTTGAACTCCGAATCTGGAACGCCCTGGATCCTGCACTTGCAGAACGGGTCGGACTTCCCAGTATCCCAGTCCGCGCTTCTCAAGCCTTCGGCTCTGCAGATGGTGACGCAAGGCACGCGCGGCACATCCGCAGCCTTTACTCCCTCGAGCACGACGCTCAGGAAACCCGAAGCCTTTCTGTGATTGCCCAGTGGCAGCTCGTGTGGGCCATCCCGCTTACCCACTGGGCACGGATCTGCACTGAGAAGAAGCGAAGCGGTGCCCAAGAGATCATGGCTCGAGACGCGGTCCCAGTCCGACACCTCGAATTCGAGCCAGCAGCCCCTCGCTCGAGCGGGAAGCGGGTAGCGCTCTTCCCATTTGGGATCCAACTCCTTCTTGACGACCTGGGTCTGAAATTCGCCAGCCCAGCAGGCTTACTGCGCATTCGAGCGCAAATCTGTGGAGAAAGGCAGTGTGAATCTACTTTGGTATGCTCAACTGGTGTATACCATTACTACTGAATCATATATATATATATATGTATATCCCACCATGCCTCAGAGGACGAAACGAATGTCCTGAAGTCTATTTGGGCCCTCTGCGTTGAACCAAACGTCGGGGGGTGAGCTCGCAATGAAACGGAATGCCCCCCACCGGGAAATCGATGTCGGTTTCGTGTCGTGAGTGCGGATGAGGCGAAACTGCATGGGAAGGCCAGCGGAATGATTCCGTCCTGGCCAGGACGAAATCGGGCTCAATGTCTCTCCTCCCCCCAATTGACCCGCGGTGGCCTGGGGGTGTCCTGCCCGCGTCCCGTGGTGTTCCATGGTGTTCTGTGGTGTTCCGTAGTGTCCCGTGGCGCGGTGTCCCGTGGAGTCCCGTGGTCACCCGTGAAGTCGATACTGGGATTGACAGTGAGGCCGATGGCGAGATTGATTTTGATATCGATGGAGTGATATCGATAGTGGTATCGAAAAACCCAATACATCTGTAATGATATCACTAGCGAAATCAACAGGGAGGTCGATGATGAAATCGACACGTTGTTAGAGAGTAGTTGCGATAGTGAGACCAATCGGTCAATCGATATGGATACCGATAGTGAGATCGATCGTCCTGGTGAAATCCATACATAGCGACATCGAAAGATAGAAACATATCGGTAATGATATCGATAGTGGTGCCGACTGTGAAATCGATATTGCGGTCGATACTGAGATCGTTAGGTCGGAGGTTGGGGGGTAATATCGAAGTGAAACGCCCCCCCCCCGAAAATCGGTTCTGGTATCGTGTTCGTGTCGCGTGTGCGGGCGAGGCGAAGCTGCATGGGCGGGCGAGCGAAATGAACCCGCCGTGGCTACGACGAAACCGGGTCAAATGATTCTGGGCCCCCCCGGCTGGCCAGCGGTGGCCTGGGAGTGTCCCAATGGTGTCCCGATGGTGCCCTGATGGTGCCCACGTGGTGTCCCGATGGTGTCCCGATGGTGTTCCGATGGTGCACCGATGGTGCCCCGATGGTGTCCCGATCGTATCCAAACGGTGTGCACATGGTGTCCGCATGGTGTCCCGATGGTGGGCTGATTGTGTCCCGATCGTGTGACGATGGTGTCCACATAGTGTCTCGATCGTGCCCAGATGTTGTCCCGATTGTGCACCGATGGTGTCCTGATGGTGTCCAGATGGGATCTCGGCGGTATCCCAGTGGTGCCTCGATGGTGCTCCGATGGTGCCCCGATGGTGCCCGGATGCTGCTCAGAAAGCGCCCCCCTGGTGTACAAATGGTGTCCCGATGGTGCCCCGATGGTTGTTCCGTGGGACCCATGGAGGGATAGCTGACTGGCTGTTGCCAGCGATAGATAGCAACACCCGCCGATAGTGATATCGGCAGATCGACAGTGGGATCGATTGCGGGATGGATGATTCGTGAGACCGACGGGCCGTGAGACCGAGAGGTCGACAGAGAGACCGATGGCGAAATCCGTTCCCCCGCGCTCGGCGCAAGCGAGCGGTCTCCCGGCGCTCGGCGCGCGAGGGCGCGCGCGAGGGCCCCCGGGCATATGCTCGGGGCCGCCGCGCGCGCGGGCTCGTCCGTTCGCCGAAGCCGGCGAAGCTGCCGCGCCCCGCGCCCGGGGCCCCCTGCGCAGCGGCGCTGTTTCGGCGGGCGGCCGCGAGTGGAGATGACCACGCAGAAGGGCCAGCGAAGACGAAGGGGCCCTGGGACACACACGAGTAAATGGACACAAACAACAGGATGCCCTATGTTTCCCAATCTTTTCAGGGCTTTCGTCTCCCCCCCACTTCCCATATGTTCCCATGAATTTTCCTGGAAGTCGACGATGAATTGTATCTTTTGTCCCCTCCTGAGCAAAGAAAAGGAGCGACTCGGCGGTCGCTAGCAGTGACGCATAAGGCGTTGCGAGTTCGCGCGAATGTAGGGAGGGCATATAGAGCTGTCGAAGCGGCCGCCTGCAAATAGCGCTACGCGCCAAAGGCTTGGCGCCGCCGCCCACGCCAGAAGACGCGAAGGACGTCCTCCATGGCCGCGCGAAAACCGGTCGCCCGAAAACGCTGCAGGCAGGCAGGCGCAGGGTTCGACCCCGAGGCCGCTTTGGCAAGCGGCGCGGGGCGCCCAGCGCCAAAGGCACGTGGCCCCGCCGAGTGCGGAAGCCGCCCTGCCCGAAGGGCGTGGGCGGATCGGCGGCTCCTCCTCCTCCTCCTCCTCCTCCTCCTCCTCCTCCTCCTCCTCCTCCTCCTTGGGCCCGTTCCAACAACCCCACCGTAGACCTGCCCGAGCAGCGAGCGCGCCGAGTCGGCCAGGCGCGGCGGGTATCTGGCGCAAGCGCGGAGAGGAAGGCATCGCCGCTGGACTGAAGCCGATCGCCGGGCAGCGAAAAAGACCACGGCGACGGGCCCCCGGGGGTCGGAGGAGCGCGGAGAAACCCATGGGCAGCAGCGCTGCCATCAGTGGCCAGTCCCAGAGCAGACCGAGATAGGCCGAGGGCCGCAATTTTGCGCGCAGCGGCGCACGGGCTCGAGGAGTGCTGAGCTTAGGAGGCTCGGCCAACTTCCACTGCTCGGCTACGTCCCAAGCCTCCGAAAGGAAGGCGCACCAGTGAGGGTGCGCGGACTGGGTGCTAAGGACGCGGCGCGCCGAACTACAATACGGGAAACCCGCGCCACGAAGCCGAGCGTCGAGCATGGCGAGAAACCAAGCGAGCAGGGGCCCGCTGCGGCACAAAGCGGCAGGTGCGATGCGCGAGTGCTGCACGAGCCACAGCTCGAAGGCGTCGACCGTACTCGAACGCAGATCAAGAGAGCAGCGAGGTGAGAATCGCACGCGGAGGGATCGCGAGAGGCACATGGGCGAGCTAGACGTAGCCCGAGGCCCGACGTCGCGGGGGCGACCGCGGCGGCGGCTGCGGCGGCATCCGCAAGGCGAGCGCAGAGACCGCACGCACACCAAAGGAGCAATCCAGGGGCAACCCCCGCGCTGCGCTTCGCTGTCGACGCGTTCGCGGCGAGGTGAGCCGCCCGCTTACGCCGTGAGGCGAAGCGCGGAAGGGTGGCGCTCTTCCCCTTCGAACTCGACGCCTGAATTGACGGCCGCGCCCTCGCGCGCAGTAACGAAAGAGACGTCAGCATTGCGGGTGACGCGTCGCGCGGCGACCTCGACCTCCGATGGGAGAGGATTCCCGCCTTCGAGCGCGATCCAGTCGGGCGGCTCGCAGACCCCCCCACCCCGAACGATCGTCGACACCGCCAGGGTGGCCTCGCGGTACTGGGCCGAAGGCATCCATCGCGAAGAGCGTCCCACAGGGCCCGCGCGTGCGAAAGCACGCTGCTGCTCCTGAAGCCCCCCTCGCGGTGCCCCCACTCCACGGGGGGGAGATCCTTGCCTCCCGAGGTCGCGCGCCGGGAGGTCAAGGACAGCCGCAGCGGCGGCGGCCGTGCGTCGCTGGGCGACGCTGCCTCCCAGTCCGACGCAGCGGATGGCCCCTGGCGCCAGGGCGTCGAGGAGCTCCGCCATCGTTCCGCCGGTCCACATGGGGCGACGGCGCTCACCGGGAGCAGCTCGGTGGGGGTCTCCTCGCGGCGCGCGCCGCCCGCTCGAGCAAAGGCCGCGGCGCTGCTGAAGAGAGAGAGAGCCTCGTGGGGGCAGGCCAGGTCCGAAGGGTCGCCCATCTCTGAAGGGGCCCCAGGACACACAAAGAAATACACACAAACAAAAAGATCCCCCATCTTTTCCCATACTTTCTGGGCTTCTGCCTTCCCGCCCACTTCCCATATTTTCGCATACTTTCTGGGGGATCGACGATGAATTGTGCCTGTGCGTTTCTTCCCCTCCTGAAGTTCATCGGGCGCGGGCCCGTCCGGCGAGCAGCAGCGCAGCCGCGGCAGGGCGCCTTGGAACGGGTCGCCCTGGAACCCCGCGGCCAGCGCGGGCGACGGCGAGATCGCTTCGCCGGCCGCCTCCGCGCGCCTGCCCGCGGCCGTGGACGTGCCTTCCAGTGGCGCCAGCTCCCCGCGGAGAGGAAAAGGACCAGGGAGGGGCGCGGGCGGCGCGCGCCGCGGCCGCCGGCGACAAAGCTGCCGGAGACGGCCCGCCGGGTTCCACGCCGGCGGCGGGAGGAGGGAGGGAGGAGGGAGGAGGGAGGAGGGAGGAGGGAGGAGGGAGGAGGGAGGAGGGAGGAGGGAGGAGGGAGCCTGCGACGCGGCCGCGGCTCCGGGCGCGCGGCGGTCGGGGGCCCCGACAGGCGCGCCTGGCGCTGCCGGCGTGGCTGCCGCGCGCGGCGGCGTTCCGCCCGCGGCGTCGGCGGCGTGCCCCTGCCTGCGCGGCCGCAACAGCATCGCTGGAGATGGGGGAGCAGAAAGCCGACACCAACACCAAGAAAGCATTTGTTCCGAAAATTTGACTTGCGTTTTGGGCCAGCGCGACCCGGCCCCGGCGGAGACGCAAGCCGGCCGGGGAGGGCGGAATAGTGGACGTCGCGCAGCATTGAGGAGGGAGAGCGGGAAACAAAAAGCACGAGCGATAAGCGAAACTGGCGGGCGCTCTCGGGAGAGGAGGGAAAAAACAGGAAAGAGTGCGGCATCCTCCATGACCGAAGCCTCACCCCCCACCGCCGCCCCCCCCCACGCGCTTCCCCCCGCCCGCTCGCCCCCCTCATATGCCCCCCCCCCTCCCCACACCCGCCCTCTGTCCGCCCGCGTCGCATCCCTGACCCTCGATTTGCCCGAAGCCAGCACCCGACGATTCCGAACCGCCTACTCCCCGCGAAAGGGGGCGGCGGCCGCCCTCCGCGTTTGGGGCCAAAGACCGTGGCTCCCTCCTGACCCGGGCCCGCAATACTGGCGTAGCATGGCCATGCGCTGCGCGAGGTCCTCATTGCTCGTCGATGCTGCTTGTAAT